GATACCTGGAGGCAGGATTACCATTTCAGACTGACGTAGAGGTGTGAGCCAGTAGCCGACTGCTCTGATTTTCTGACCTTCAGGTTAAACCCCAGTTCCTGTTTCTGAGTTTCTACTAATCGTGTGACACCGAGGGCTCCGCCTTCATGTTCTCAGCCCTTCCCAGGGGCACTGCATCTTCATACCATCACTGCTGAGTTCATGCTGCAACATTTAATAGTAAGGGCTCCTCAAATATTCAGACCACAGCCAAAGCTTAGAAGAATAGGCATGATATTTATGATTTATTTTACTGTCAATAAAATTATTATCTTAATTCATATAATTATATTAATAATTCCTGTGTTTTTATCTCAATATATTCTTTTAAACGTGTGTGTGTGTGTGTGTGTGTGTGTGTGTGTGTGTGAAGGGCAGAGGTCAACACTGGATATATTTCTTAATCACTCACCATCTTAATTTTTGAGACAGGGTCTCTCACTGGTCCAGCACCCATGCCTGGTGCTGAAACCAAGGGAGGGATGTGTACCTCTGAGTCTCCAACTACCACCATTTACTTAAAATATTTTTTTTGAGACAGAATTTCTCTTTGTAACAGCCCTAGCTGTTCTGGAACTAGCTCTGTAAACAAGGCTGGCCTGGAACTTACAGATCCACCTGCCGCTGCCTCCTGAGTGCTGGGGTTAGAGGCATGCACCAGTACCGCTTGGCTCTATCTAAAATAATCTTACTGTTGACTGCCTACAAGCTTGTTTGTCTCTGTGATGTGAAGGATTTGTGTGTTCCAGGCTCTCAGGGCCTAATACTGCTATAACACAGAATTAATCAATGAATCAATGATGTCCCTTGGTTACTCACCACAATAATCATGCCTGTTCACGTAGCCTCCGTCAGCCCAAATCTCAGCAATGCAGTTTGCTACTCCACAGCCATCCAGCCTTGCTGACTTAGGCCATCTAGACAGTGCTCAGGAAAAGTGGCCAGTTGATGCTTCTCATTTTAGAACCTTAAGGTAAGTTTAAAACAATTTTTCTGATCTAGACGTGGCGGCTCAGCACTTGTGAGGATCAAGAGTTCAAGGTCGTCTTCAGCTATGTAGTGATTTAGGAGCAAGCCTGGGCTCCATCTGCCACCCTATACATGCTATTGTTATTTCTGGTTTCCATGTTGTGATTTGAGTTGGCACATAGATTTGTTATTAAATAACACTGAACATGACGGGGAGAAGATGTTCTCCTTTGATTTGTCTCTCTTAGAAATAAATACTTTGGAGATACAAGAATAGTTCAAATATGTAAACATACCACAAACAATATAATGAATGCCCATAGCTTGCAATCTATATTTAACAATTCCAAACATTTAACAATAGTCGCTTCAACTTTTACAAACAAAGCAAACCCCATAGCTATCATTGTACCTCCTTGCCTCCCACCTTTTCCTCTTCTTCCTCCTCACTGACCAGTAGGCGTGTGCCCTTCCTGCCTGTGCCTGTGTTATCACATACTTACTCCAATGATAAACAGCAGACAGGTGTGCTTCCTGGCCCCCAACTGAGGCCTGAATGGCCTCAGTTCCCCCAGTCCTAGATCCTGTCAGGAATAAAATGCCACCTTGGGCAAACCCTGAATGCCCATGTTGCTTGCTATTTTCTCTTTCCTTTCAGCTATCATCATGTATCTAAGATAATCTTAGTTGCTGGCCTCTTGCTCCATGCTTCTTGCCTGCCTTTGTGAGGCTGGGCTTTCATATCCCCTGGGGGTTTTCTGGAAGAAACTCAGAGTCTGGAGAAACCTATTGTCAGACTAACTGTAGTGGGAGAGATTTCGTTTCCATTAAGTTTATTTGAATGGTTTCCTTTCCATATGTGTGGGTGTGTAACATGAGGGGCCTGCTTGTTGGGGTTTCTGTCCTGCCCAATACCCCACAGCCGACAAGCCCCAAAGAAAATCACACAGAGTCTACATTAGGTTATAAACTGATTGGCCCATTAGCTCAGGCTACTTATTAGTTCTTATAACTTATGTTAACCCATTATTTTTATCTATGTTAGCCACACGGCACAGTACCTTTCACAGCTGGGCAGGTTATATCTTGCTTCTCGATGGTCTGGGCAGGAATGGCAGGAATGGGTTTCCTCCTTTCCAGAATTCCTCTATTCCTATTGTCATGTCTCTATTTTTTGTCTGGTTGACCCACCTGTACTTCCTGCCTGGACAATCAGCATTTATTTAAAACATGACTGGCAGAATACCTGTGCCAGTGGGTATGTCTAATGTTGTGGAGTATTCACCACAGAGGACTGCTTGGGCATGGGTTTAAGTCAATAGAAAGTCTTTATTGGGCAGTCAACAACTATACCGCGTGTTCAGGATCCCAGTGTACCCCTAGTCTTTCTCAGGGTGAGCTTTTAAGCACAAAAACCATGTTCTGGGTTGACAAACTTCAGTTAGCAAGAGCAGTTAGCCAGAAGCAGAACTACAAAAGCCCCAAAGCCAGCACATTTAGAGATGATCCCAGAACTATGGACTTTGGTGGATTAGGCCTTTGTTTTAGTTTTGGCAGATGGTGTGGTCTACATGCTAAGTTTTGCATCCTGAATGGTACTTCATCATGGAGTCAGTTATGCCAAGGTCTGGGACCTACTAAGGTCGGGGGCCCTATTAGATCTAGACTTCTTTTTATAGTAGTGCCTTATGTTTTCTTTTAAATTAGACAAAAACAAAAGAGTTGTTGATAAGAGCGCAGATAGTATTCAGAGAGAAAGAAATCAGGGCATTGTGCAGAACAGTCGAAATCTGATACACCTGGCCTAAAGAAGAGACTTTGATGCTCCTTTACAGGGCGTGCAAAGCTCTCCCTGGTCCTGCCTTGGCTCTCCCCTGCTCCCAGGGGGTACCACCCTTCACCTGCAGCTGCTTCCCTTACTCTCTAGGGTACCTTTCTTTGAAGCTGTTTTCCGGAGCCCTCAATCCCGCCTAAGCCTGGCTCTCTGGTGTCCTCTCTGGCTCAGAGGTGGGGCTTCCTCAGTAGTCATCATAGTAGTGCATGCTATTCTGAACCAATTCTAGAATTTGGGGCCAGTTATTAGGGTCAGGGGAGAAGATCATTTTGTGATGTTTCATTTAACTCTACACCTTTTCAGGGAAAAGGTGTTTATCTCCTATTTGCAAGTTCGAAGTTTAAAAAACCATCCTGCTTACACATCTCAATACCTAATCTAAAATTATTTTCTTTTACCTGGAGACAAGCTAGCACACTGCCTAGATGAAGGGCGAGAATTAAAAAGACGACACACAAGGGGCAAGCAGTAGTGCTGGGCAAAGGTGGTTTTGGTGCCTTTCCTTCACAGTGATTTAAGGCTCAGCACCCATTACATGAGCTAAATGATTTCATTAGGAATTTCAAATAGAGTCCTTTAAATATCTAAAAACATTAAAAAAAATACTCAGCATATAATCTTTAGCAGCCCAGCTCCCAGACCACTGCTGATATTTGCATGTTGTGGGAACTGCGCTCTAGTGTCAGGCCCAAACAGTCCAGCAAACACTAACGGCATTAACATGGGTTCGTTCTGTCATCCACCTGACATATTTTGAAGCTCATATTTAGTTTACAAGTCATGATTTAAGAAGTAGCAATGGCCCAGGCGTTGGTATACACTTGGAATCTGAGTACTCGGGAGGTGTTTGCGGGATGTGTGTGTGTGTGTGTGTGTGTGTGTGTGTGTGTGAGTTCAATGCCAACCTCAGCTCCACAGTGAGTTAGAAGTCACCCTGAAGTCAATGAGGTTCTGTCTCATAACCAAACCAAGTTAACTAACCAATAAAATAAAGAAAAGGAACCTCTTTACCCCACCCCAAAGAAAACAAAACAAAAAGCAAAGCAAAAACCAAAACCCGCAGTGCGCTTGGCTTCTTGTCTCAAATGTAGGAAAGAACACTCAGAGCTACTGATGGATTGAAGGGAATGGGCAGAGTTCAGAATTAATGTTTTCTTTAAACGAATTTTGCGTGGCCAAACCAGGAGAGAGGAAGGTCCACGCGGGGGTTGGGGAAATGACTTCACTCTTTTGATAACAGTAAGTCCTGTTACCACCGTAAACACGCAGCTTTTGAGTGAAAAAGCCGGAGAAATCAAATCGCTCGTATGTCACCTCTTATTCTCCCTGAGCCAAACTTTCTCATCAATCTGTGTGGGTCACCGGGGAAAAGACGCAGAAAAGGAAACGCTGCCTTCGGCGGCAGTGTGTCGCCCAATTAATGTCGGTCTGGGAGTCACCTGAAGCCTTCGAGCTACTGCACCCAGGGAGCAAGCCTCGCTTTTCAATTCGGTCATTTCCACGGGGAATTGCGGCACGCGCAGGTCCTGGGTGTGGCGATGTCGAGACGGAGCTCAGATCTCCAGGCTTTCCACCTTCTGGCCAATCTACACGGCTGAGATAGTACGGGTAATCCGGGCCTGCCTTCCTGCAACTCCGGGACCGCAAATGACCGCGACCCCGTGACCACTGCCCAGTGCCAAAGCCAGGCTGCCTGCTCCGCGAGTGTGAGCTTCTCCCCAACCCGCTCTGCGCCGGGAGGCGGATCCCCTACCCTGTGCATAAGTCCTTATATGCACCGGTTGCACTGGCCCGCCTTTACTCCAGCCCCACAAATAATTAATGGGGGAGGAAGGACGCTGCTGTCTTTTCCCGCTGCCTTTCCTCACCAGCCTTTTCACCATTAGAGCATCTCAACCCAGTCAAGAAACCCCAAGATGCGATCGAAGGGCCATTTTGGTGCATTGCACAAATTGAACATGTTAAAAAAAATAACCTTCGGGTTCCGGCACAGCGAGGTTCAAGATAGTCTCTTCCGATTCAGTACTATTAACCCGCAAAAGCTGGGGCGGAAAGGGTGCGCGCCCCTCCCCCTCCCTGGCTAGTGCAGAGGGACCCGGTCAGGAAGCGCGGCCTCTCCCCAGTCGGAGACCACGCCTCCGTCCCCCCCCCCACTCCGCCCCGGAAGCGGTGATAGACAGTTCTGTGTGGGTCTCCACCCCCCCCCCCCCCAGCTGAGTGGAGGAGTTGATATGTCTCATTATAACAGCCAATGCAGCCGCCATCCACGCACAAGCAAAGAAGCATGTCCCATTTAAATACACCCACGCAGCCCCAGCGCCCTTAGCCGATCAGGGCGCGCAGCCCACACGCACCGCGGCTCCGGGCTTGGAGATCCGAGCAGGTCGGGCTCCGGGAACCCGCGGATCGACGCTCACGGAAGATCGGAATCCGACTCTGGTTGGGGGCCCGGGTGGGCGGGGGAGGCTGGGCCCCGGGCCTCTCTGGCGGACAGCCGCATGAGGACGCGAGCGAAATAGACCAGGGTGGACTTGCCAAGGCAGACTCTTCGGACTGGTTTGGTCCATTTCTCCCGCGAAGAGTCGACATGGCGAGCGACTCCCCAGCTCGCAGCTTGGATGAAATCGATCTCTCCGCCCTGAGGGTGAGCAGAACGTGTTTTTTCCTTTCTTTCTAATGGTCTGAGACTGGGCGAGGGAACGTTCCCTGGTTTCCTGTTCTAATTCCGGGGCAGCTTATGAGGTCCTAGGCTGCTACCCCTACAGCAGAGGCTGGGCTGCCCTTGTGCTCCTTGGCTCTTCCCGAGGCTCCGCAAGGAAGCTGGTGGAGCTTATGTCAGTTTCATCTTTGGTCGGTGTAAGAGAATTGCATGAAAGGCGTGTGTGTGTGTGTGTGTGTGTGTGTGTGTGTGTGTGTGTGTGTATGTGTGTGCACCCGTGCAATTGTCTCCTGCCAAGGCGCGAGACCCGACTGGTCCTTGCTGCAAAAAAGAATCTCCTCAATAATAAAGGCACTGGTCCCTCAGGTTTTCCAGCTACCTGCAAGATGCCATCGTGAGTCTACCTGTCCCCACCAGCCGACCCTGCGGCTCTAAGAGGGCAGTAATTGCTGTTCCGGGCTGGTCTGGTAGATGGCAACTGACTCCCCTCCCGGGTTCTGCCTCCGGTGCGGGGGCTCAGGCTCGGCGCTTCCCTAAACGCCAGGGTACACTCACCTTTATCTACGGTTTGAACTCAACCCTGCCCATGCCTTTCTAACTCGGTGACTGTGACCTTTCAGTTTTATGGCTGAACTTCAGCAGGTGAAAGGGACGCCTTAGCAGCTTCTCCTTACCACACCGGAACTCCCTGGAGAGACTGTGTGTGCGTGGTGTGTGTGCGCGCGTGGGGGTGTGTGTATGTGTGTGTGTGTTTCCCGGGTCTGTGACCAGTCCTTTGTAGAACACCTTCCCTTCCCCCAGCTCTATCGCTCTGCCTTTACCTTCTCCCGAAACACCTCAGACGCCGGTTCCATTGTATTGAATAAGACTCTACTGATCTAGAATCCATTTTGCTGTTGTTTGGAGATCATACTGCCAGGAATCCCTTTGCAGCCTCGACGCTTCCCCACCCCCACTCCTAATCCCAGCACACTCCTTCGGGGAAGGGAGCCTAGCGCTCTTGCCATTTTAATTAGATGCTGCCTGCCAGGAAGGGGGTAAGAAGGGGTGGTGGTGGTGGCAGCAGCGGGGATCTGAGAAAGATTGAACACCAATCTCAGTACTAGTTTCTTCCTCTCCCGAACTAAAAATAAAATAAAGAACAAGTGCATCTGCTTGATGCCTGGAGGGTAGCTGAGCCTGAAGGGATGGTGTCAAGTCACCGACTGCCGGTCTGGGTGGAAGGCCAGTGGTCCTCCGAACACACTGTTAGGCTGATGCTAAATCTTGGGGCCATTGACCTGTGTTTCCTGCCCTTTCCTCTTTCTCCACAGACATTTTAAAAAGCTAGTTACCTGTCCATCGAAGTGATACTTTTTCTTCAGGCTCTGGGAGCCTCTTTGCCGCCCACACTTTGACTCCTTGGCCCTTTCCTTATCTTTTGGTCCAGAGAGGTGAGGATTCAGAGAGGCAGTGCTCAGGTTGAGGACTGGCTGCCCTTTGAAACGGGCTGCGGTGACAGTGGGGCAGCAAAGGCTCATTCATGCCTGATTACAGTAAGCCCTCTGTTCCTCTAGTGCCCAAAGGCCACATCAGGAACCAGTGGGCAGCTGAGTGTGGGGGCTGGGAACAGAGAGGGCGCTTAGGACAAGTGCATGTATGGCTCCCTTTTACCCACTGTCAGGGCTTCTGCTCTGCTAGCAGCTGGGAGTTGCTGAGGGTGAGTTGATCAGGTGGACCAGTGGCCCCAGACTTGAGGAAGGAGGAGTGGCGAAGAGGTAGCGACCTGAACAATGAGCCAGGCTTGTGATTTAGCTGAGCCAGAATCTTAGCATCATTCTCCCTGACGTGATTTTTAAGTTGAGAGGTGGTGGTGGTGGGGGGACGACTGGCTTCTGTGGGCAAGCTTTTCTGAGATGCCAAGTACAGAACCTGTCATCACAGCTCCCCGAGTCCCACTCAGGGAGACCTGTGCCCTGTAACCTGTATTTGAAACAGATAGCTTTGCATGATTCACTGGGATTGCCCTTTGTCACCCAGGCTGCTCAATGAGTTCTCTGCCTGCACTGGGGTATGCAAAGAGCTAGGCCAACAGCTACTCCCAGGGCCTGAGGAGGTGCTGGCTGGAAGACTTATGCAGATGGCCAGACAGTTGTACTCAGCAGGCCTGGGCGCTTCAGGCAGTCTTGTGGTGGGTGAGGCATGCAGGTAGGTTTCTCTCCCAGGGCTAGTGGGTGGGCCGCACACATCAGAGAGTAGATGGTGGCTGGCTCCCCAGATTTGGAGATTGCTGGTTCCTAAGCTTGCCATAGAGCCTGAAAGCGCACCTCCTGAGGAAAAGCCTGACCCCTGAGATGCAGGCAAGGTCAGTGAGTCAGCCTGTCAGTCCCTCCGCGTTCCTGTGGCTCTTTAATGTACACAATCAATGCTCTTTGTAAACCCTGGGCTTGGTGGTTAAAAGCAGCTCCTGTCTAGAGAGGCCTTTCTCCTTCTGACTTTGGGGGCTCATTGTTCTCAGCCAGTGATCCCAGACTGGGCCCCGTCTAAAATTCCCCCAAATGGGAACAATGCTTAATTCAAACCAGAGCAGCCAACATCAGTCCCTATCGTTTAAATTGCCCAAGGTTTGGGTAGTGTTTGTTGTTGTTGCTTATTTGTTTCGTTTTGTGTGTGTGAAATGAAGTGGGGTCTCTCATTAGAAAATAAATCATCAGAATTCAATTTATTGAATCCTCATTTCAGAGCTTGTGAAGCTCAAGTAGATCTCGGGTGTTGGGTAGGGCGCTGTTACATAGCCGAGAGCTAGAAAAGATCTGGAGAACACTGGGCCATTCCCCTCGTGTATCCTTTGGGAGACTGAAGCCCAGAGAGGCGAAATCTGTTGTCCAAGGTCACGCAGCCGAAGGGGGATAAAAGTAGCTGAAGTAGAGAACCTATGGTTCCCAACTCCTCCATCTTCCGAGGCGTATTATCTATAGTTGAAAAGGAAATCATTGAAATGTTTTCTGCTTGGGGTGGGGAGCAAGAGAAGTCATTTGATCAGGGTCAAGGAATATTTTTTTCTTGAAAGTAGAAAACCTGCTAGAAGCAGAGAACTTATCGATGCAAATGACCAGAGCTCTTAGGCACCTTTGGAATTTATCTGTCTAGCCTTCTTCCAGTCCCTTCTTTGCAGGCAAATGACAATCTAAATCACACAGGACAGATGGCTGTCCTGCATGGACAACTTCTCTCAGTAGCCTGTCTCCTTCTGAACATGTCCCAAGGGGTCCGTCCAGACACACACATTACTCTGTGTGTGAGCTTTCTGGCCTCCGTGCCTGCTTTGGGCAGTGGCTGTAGATGCGGGTATTACATATAGTATTATGGGCATAAACTCTATCTGTGTGGGTGTATGAAAATGTGTATACGCACACACGGACTACTACAAACAAACAATCCCCTTATTCAGACCTGTGCTTGAGTCATGCCTGCTTCAGACATCCCTGTATTAGAAGATGAAATTATCCACCATGATGCTCTGTTGCCTATGAGGGGAGCTCAACCCCGAACGCTTTTTTGAAGATTACTATATTTCGGAACTGGAGCACATGGGCTCTCTTCAAGTTGGTCCACGGTGTCAGCTCTTCAAGATCGGGGTGCTGATCCCATACTTTCAGCGCGGGACAGGACTCAGGCATACTTGTCTACTTGAACAAAATTAGACAAATTAAGCCCACCTTTCTACACCCCTCCATGACTTTCTGGCCTAGCCATTCTCTCTCCTCCTTCTCTTCTCCTCCCCATATGTGTGTGCAGTGTAAGCATATGTAAGTTGATATATGCATGTGTACAGGTGTCATGCATGTGTGTATGTGTGTGCATGTGAGCGGAAAGGCCAGAGATTGAGGTCAGGTGACATCCTCCATTTCTCTGTACCTTCTATTTTTTAAATTTAATTTAATTTTTTTATATTCATGTATGCCCATGCACAATGTGCCTTCTGGGACCCTGCAGAGGCCAAAAGTGGGTGTCTGATCCCCTGGAACTGGAGTTACAAACAGTTGTGAGTTGCCATCTGAGAACTGAACCCAGGTCCTCTGAAAGTGCTGTCATCTCCCCAGGCCCTCTCTGCGCTCACTAGACCCTGAACCCGCTGATGGAGCAATGCTAGCTTGTCACTATGACCCAGGAATCTTCCTGTTTCCACTCTACCCCCATTTCCATCACTGCCACAGACAGCTTTTCAGTGTGTGGCTGTTGGGGATCCAAACTCAGGTCCTCATGCTTGTGTGGGAAGCACCTGGCCCACTGAGTCATCTCTCCAGTCCCTAGCCATTTCTCTCTCCATCAACATCCAAACTGAAAAACTAATCTCATTCAGAAAGCTTGCACGCATGTCTTGACTGCAGTCACTGAATGCGTAAGTAAATGAGGAGGAATGGTCACAAGCTTCTGGATTCTCTGTGCATATTCCATAAGTTCTGTGATTTGGGTTATGCCACTTTAAGTGTCAGTAGGGCCAAGACCGGATAGCAACCATTTGTCTTCATTACCCTGGATTTTAAAATCAAATACTTTAGGGCAGAGCATTTAAGTCACAAAGAAACATACAAATATGTCATTAGATAGAATTTTATGGGTAACTCAAGCTCACCAACATTTGATCCCAGTGACTGCACCTAGTAGAAAATGCAGAAAGATGTTTTCCCTTTGTTTTGGTTTCTGAGACAGGTTGTAAGAAACAGCCAAGAATAGTGTGGAACTCATTTTGTAGCCTAGACTGGTCTTGACTGCGAATACATCTGCCTTAGCCTCCTGAGTGCTGGGATTATGAGTGTGTGCCACTGTGTCCGCTTTAGAAGGCACATCCTTTAACTGTATGTAAGTGCACATGTATTCATGCCTGTGGGGGCCAGAGGTTGCTATCCGGTTCCATCCTCAGTGTTCTTCACTGAAGGTGTCTCTTTCAATAGCATTGAGACAGACCAGCTTAGGAGCTCATGAAGCCTTGTACACATCTCTCA